ACTAACATAATAGATAGGAGATTGTGTACCTTCATCTTCACAGACTAAAACGACACTTACCAGACGTCCTTACAAGTGAAATTCTCCCCTCTTATATAGAGGTTTACACATATAATGTTTCTTTCCATTTATGGCCAAATCATTACGATTTAATGGTATTAATGATCCGTTACAATTGGTAATCATAACTGTCCACGAGATTCTGTAACAATTCTGATTCCACTCCTCATTAATTGAAGGTTCATGAATCTTCTCTTTTTACTGTCTTGATTCAATCTTTGCCAGCTGTTAGGCTCGGTACTATCTCGTGGGTGTTTCCGTCCCGTGCCTTTTCTTATTCTATCAAATAAGACTACCACGTGTTGCTATATTATTGCTCTTACGTGTTATGCCATGTCAGCATCCTAATATTCCACGTGTAGCTCTTTTTCACCACCAATACAAGTTGGCGAACAAAATTTGCAATTTTTTTTTTGCTTGTTTAAATAATTTCATTGTTTGAAATCTATTTGCTGTATTTTAGTATGCATGCGCAACAATACGCCTTAATATGATACGAGATTATAAAGATCGCCTAAATATAACGATTGTCGATCATCATGATTGCCCACGAATAATGTGTAAATGAGATTAGAGAATAGGCGGTCTAGGATATACTTAAGCATTTATATCTAGTTTTCTTTTTCACATTTGCCTTTATTAACTTAAGAGGTTTAAATTAAGGATATATAAATTAAAGAAAAAAGACAACATTCACAACATTTAAATTAATTGACAAATTTAATCATTCAAAAAAAAAGTTGTTTAGGCATGTCGATGATATACATAAATTAGTTAGTGAATAGGTGATTTTATCCCGTTTAAATTTTTTTAGACTCTTATTCATTCTACACATAATTCAATATTAAAAATTACAATAATAAAAAAAGATTATTCATTATATCACCGAAAGAGATCATATATACGAAAGGGATGGATATCGTATGCTATAGAGTTAGATATATTTGCAAACCATATGATCAAACTTATTGTTTCTACTTTATAACCCTTAAATTGTTTGACAAACTTAATTTTGCTACCAAAATATTGTTAAACATGTTGAGAGTACAATCGCTAAAATATTTTTTGAAAATAATTATTGTTGAGATGAAGGAATTAACAGCTGGTGACAGTTGTGAATCTCACATCACAGTGGGTGAGCAAGGTGTAGGATAACAACTGTGTATGTTAGCATGGGTTAGTTATATTAGTTAGTGAGTAATTGGCCAATAGGCTAAGTTAATTAGCGTAACAATGTATAGTATATATAGATTAGCATTGTAAATTTTTTAGTATTCATTCAATACAATTGAGAGCTTCTCTTCAAAAACGACTTTCATTCTCTCTTCATCGATATTCTCTGAATCTCAAATATCACGCATCAATGGCGTGATTTAATATGGTATCAGAGCTTGAGTGAATCGATTAGAGCTCAATTTAATTTTTACTCTTTGAATCTTGTAATCATCTCGATTCAGCTGAAAGGAACTGAGAATTATTCAGTTTGGAGCAAAGCGATGGTGATAGCATTGCGAGCAAAGCGGAAGCTAGGGTTCATTGACGGAACTTGTACGAAATGTCAACTCACTGAGGATCTAGGAGAAGATTGGGGGCGAGTCAATGCAACAGTCCTAACCTGGATAATGAGCACTGTTTCACCATATTTGATTACTGGAATTGTCTATGCTGATAATGCTCATGAAGTTTGGCTAGATTTGGAGGATCGTTTCAATAAAGTTAACGTATCTAGAGTCTACAACCTTCAACGAGAGATAGCCACAATTTCTCAAGGTACTTCAAGCATTTCTGTTTATCATTCTAGACTGAAATCTCTATGGGATGAGTATGGATCCTTAATTCCTTCTCTTCCTGTTACTGTGGAACAAGGGACTTTATTGAACATCTAGATCAACAAAAACTTTTTCAATTTTTAATGGGACTAAATGAGTTGTATGGAGCCATTAGAAGTCAGATTTTATTTCAATCTCCATCACCCTTAGTAAGTCATGCATTTTCAATGTTGATCAATGAGGAGAATCAGAGGAACGTCTGTTTGTCTAATTCACAAGTCAACTTAGCAAGTGATATGAATGATTCCATAGCATTCATGAGTACTAAGGATATCCAGCAAAGTTTAGAAAATTTAATAATATGTATTGTGAGTATTGTCGTTTCAAGGGACATACCAAAGATACTTGTTATAAACTCCATGGTTATTCATCGGGCTTTACGGGAAAATAGAACCAGCAGTACATACAAGCAAATGCAGTGGTAAGTGATGACAATCATGAATAGGAAAATGCTAAGTACAAGGGTAAAGCTGAGGGACATCAAGGAATGGCTAATTTCTTCACTGAAGAGCAATATGGGCAGATAATGAGGTTGTTGAACAAGGAAAAGTCAGCTGATCACATGGCTAACATGGCAGGTAATGATGCTTCACAATTTTTTGAAAATTGCAGAGATCCTTGGATTATAGATACTGGAGCAACTAATCACATGACTTCAAATCATAATTTGTTACATAATGTGATTAATTTACCTGAACATAAGAGAGGTAATGTGCACCTTCCAAATGGTAAGTTTGTCCCTGTCACATATCAAGGTAGTTACAATCTCACAGAAAATGATACAGCCCATGATGTACTGTGTGTGCCTGAGTTTAAGTATAACTTGTTATCAGTTTCAAAATTAACAAGGGAGCTGCAGTGCTCAATGAACTTCTTTCCAACATTCTGTGTGTTCCAGGACTTGTACACTGGGAGGGTGAAGGGGATTGGTAAGGAGAAAGGTGGCCTTTATCTCTTGATCCAAGGAAGATTGACAGGAATAAGGAAGCACAAAGAATTAGGAGTTGTCTTGCTGCAGAAATGAAGACTTCGTATATTCACATGGCACAGAAGGCTTGGACACATACCTGCAGTGGTCATGAAGAAGCTGGATTTCTCTAAGAATAAGGAGATATCAAGTTATAGTTTTGAAAGATGTACTATATGTTCATTAGCTAGACAAACAAGAAAGCCTTTTGCTCTTAGTAATAGTAGAGCTGCAGAGATTTTTCACTTAGTACATGTAGACATTTGGGGACCATATAGAGTTCCTACATATAATAGAAATAGATATTTTCTAACACTTGTAGATGATCACTCAAAGATGATTTGGGTATTTCTGATGAAATTGAAGAGTGACACCATTGTCTTGTTGAAATCATTTTTTAAACTAGTGCATGTTCAATTTGGAAAGGATGTTAATATGTTGAGAACTGATAGTGGTGCAGAATTTTTTAGCACAAAATGTAAATATTTCTTGGCAGGTTGTGGTATTGTTCATCAAAGCAGTTGTCTACACACTCCACAGCAAAATGGAGTGGTAGAAATGAGACATAGGCATATCTTAGAAGTTGCAAGGGCCTTAAGGTTTCAGGGGAGTATTCCACTGCACTCCCGGGGAGATAGTGTACTTACAACAGTCTATCTCATCTACAGAGTGCCCTCCTCAGTCTTAGGGGGCAAATCTCCATATGAAGTTTTCCATAAGGCCAAGCCAAGTCTGTTGCATCTAAGGACCGTGGGTTGCTTGTGTTATGCTACAATCACAGAGAAGGTTGACAAACTTTCACCAAGAGCAATAGCTGCAGTTCACATGGGATACTCAGAATCACGGAAGGGTTATAAGCTCTATGATCTCAAGGGGAAGAAGTTCTTTGTGAACAGAATATGACCTTCAGGGAAGACATCTTTCCTTTTCAATCTATGAAAAGAACTACAGACTCTCCCTTGTTTCTAGAATTGCAGGATAATCAGACATTCCATCAGACTAATCCTAATCATGTGGAGACTCAGCATGCAGAGGAGTTGACTAGTATACACAGTACATCCAACACACCTGCAGTACTCCCTGAAAGTCATGTGCCACATGTTGAGCAAATTAATGAGAATGAGGCAGTAGTAGATACTGATCAGGCCCGTGAAGTCCAACAATCCATTGCAGAGTCTGAACTGCAGCCCAGAAGGTCTACAAGGGATTCCAAACCTCCAACATGGTTGAAAGATTACATTTTCCCAAGCACAAGAAGCTCTTCCTCAAACTGTGCATATCCTTTGATCAATTACCTAAATTACAGTTCTATTTCACAAAGGTATAAATCATTTCCAGCTGCTATATCAGAGGAGGAACCTCCATCCTATGTGGAGGCTATAAAGGATCCTAGATGGCTTGAGGTTATGAAGGCAGAGGTTGATGCTCTTGTTCTGAACAATACCTGAGAGGTAGTTGACATACCTAGAGGGAAAGTTCTTATTGGATGTAGATGAGTGTACAAGATAAAATACAAATCAAATGGGGAGGTTGAAAGGTTCAAAGCTAGGCTAGTTGCCAAAGGCTATAGTTAGCAGGAAGGTTTATATTATCAGGAGATCTTTTCCACAGTTGTCAAAATGGTTACAGTAAGGGTAGTCATTGCATTAGCTGCCATTCATCAGTGGAATCTTTATCAAATGAATGTCTATAATGCATTTCTTCAGGGTGACTTACAAGAGGAAGTCTACATGCAGCTTCCACCTGGTTTTGGTAGTCAAGGGGGGAACAAGGGTTGTAGACTACTCAAATCCCTTTATGGGCTTAAACAAGCATCAAGACAATGGAACTTGAAGCTTACGGAAGCCCTTTCACAGGCAGGATTCTCTCAAAGTAGACATGATCATTCCCTTTTCACCCTAAGAAGAAACATCAAACTTGTTATCATCCTTGTTTATGTTGATGATCTTTTGATCACAGGAGATGATAAGACTGTAATACAAGAAGCAAAAACTATATTGCACAAAGCTTTTAAGATCAAAGACTTGGGGTCATTGAGGGGCTATTTTAAACTAATCCCGAAACATAAGGGACATTTTTGTCATTTTTTCACTCTTTTTTAGTTTTCCGACCCGCCTGTAATCTACATGTATCCGGACCCGATACCGCAAGTGAGACCGTTTTGTCCGGGAAATCCAATCTTTTTTCCGCCAGCAGCCAAAGGACCAAACTGGAAAGAGGAAAAAGAGAGAAAGGTGCAGCCTTTGATGCGTAGTTGAGTTGAGATGGTGGCAATTATCCTGACAGAAGCTTTATTTGGAGCTTCTTCTTCTTGTACTGATTTCAATGGAGTTTTTGGTTCAAATTACCTCCGTTGCCCTTGTTTTTCATCAAGATTTTCACTTTCTGAGACATCCTTTTCGGAAATTTCTCTGGGAAACAAAAGGGTGAAGAAGCAGAAGAGAATTCTAGGTGTTGGCATAATTTCTTGTAGCTTAGGTAACGGGATAATTGATAAAGAAGAGCTTGAATTCAAGCCTTCATTTGATGAGTATCTGAAAGCCATGGAGTCTTTAAAAGAAAAGAAAAAGAGTGATAGTGTTATTAGAAGAAAGACAGGTGAAGAAGAAAAGGGTAAATTTGGAAAGTTTGAGAAGAAGAAATGTGTGGAAAGTTCTGATATTGTGAAGAAACATGAAGGAGTTGGAGCTGTGAAAGAGAAGGGTAATGGTGGGAAATTGGAATTTAGAAAGGTGATGATTCAGAAAAGAGAGAGCATAAGTAATGCAAAGCATGTTGATGAGATGGACAGAGCTGCTTTTAAGTCAATGGATGATGATGCTTATGATAAGCCAAGAGTTACTAAGGCAGACATGGAACAGAGAATCCAAAGGCTTGCAAAGTGGTGAGATATTCCTTGTTTTGCACTGTAGAAAAATAAAGGACTAATGCTTATCACTGAAAAAAAAAGAAGGAAAAATGAAGGACTAATTCAGTTATTTAGGATACTCTTAATATTGCTAAACAGTTGGTAGTTTATTAGAAAATTCCTATTTTCTGACTTGTAGTAAAATATTTTACTCTTACAGTCTAAATGGTGCAGACATTGACATGCCTGAGTGGATGTTCTCTAAAATGATGCGAAGTGCTCAGATTAGATTCTCTGATCATTCTATCTTGAGGATTATCCAAATATTGGGCAGATTGGGAAATTGGAGACGAGTGCTGCAAGTCATTGAGTGGCTTCATTCGCGTGAACGCTTCAAGTCACACAAGTTAAGGTATATTTTCTACGGTCATTTCTCCCACTTCTCGATAGTGCATTGTCTTAGTGATTGATTTAGATGTGGTCTTGATGCTTACTTTACAGTTAGCTATGTATTGTGATGTTCTCATAATCACTTTCGTATTTGTGAAAAGGGTGAAACGCTGGTGCTTCCTATCTATACATTTGTCAGTGCGTTAGTTTTTCTTGTGTATGCAGATATAGAAAATAAATCAAGCGTATACCACAACGAAAACAAACACTGACTAATTATAGATAGGAAGCACCGGTGTTTCACTTTTTCCCATGGATTTTCTACTTCCTTTAAATGCATCTTTGAAAGCACTGTACATGAAACTCTCAAAACTTATCCTGGGAACCTAATTTGATCTTCTAAATTTCCTTTATGAACCTTCTGGAATTGATCGAAGTTGTGATTTATATTTTTGGTGGCACATCCTTCCTATCCATCTTCTGGTAGGTCTAGGTCAAAGTCCTTAATGGGAAATTGATGCTGATGGACCTTTGATTAAATTCTTTTGCAAGATATATTTACACGGCTGCACTGGATGCATTGGGAAAGGCTAGGAGGCCAGTTGAAGCGCTAAACTTGTTTCGTGCAATGCAGGTAAGACATGTAAACTTTAATTTCAACACTTTGTCTCTCCTTTAATCAGTAGTCTTGTGTCCTATTGAGATGAATAGCCTGTGTGATATGTAACTAATGCGTGCAACCTCGACTCTTTTCCCCAGGAACACATATCATCGTATCCCGACCTTGTGGCTTACCATTGTATTGCTGTCACTCTTGGACAAGCAGGACATATGAAGGAACTCTTTGACGTCATCGATACCATGCAATCACCACCCAGAAAGAAATTCAAGACTAATATTATTGAGAAGTTTGATCCACGACTTGAGCCGGATGTTGTCATCTATAATGCTGTAAGTAATGAAAGGGTGGGCCAAATATGGGGGATTTTTCCTGGTTAAATGCACTTGTGGCTCAGAGCCATGTTGTTTCACCATCATGCTGGGAACCTCTGTTGCTCGGTAAATAATGAGAATTTAGTGTCTTCCCAATTTTGAGAAAAAGATAATTGAGACAGACACAAGAAAAACCAAGCAGAATTAGAAACCAAATGAGAAAAAAGTTCAGTATGGCATTGAAATTTGTAGTTGCTATATCTGGAAAATATTACTGGCGATCGATATCTAAATGGCTAATGCATCAGTCATTTTCCCCTTTTATTCAGTAAATTATGCATCTCTACTTTTCCTATATAAGCCAGGCTACAAAATCTGAAGCAATCATTTTAACTCAGTGCTATTGTGCCCTGGATGCTGAACTTGTTTTGGTAAAATATATCTCCTTGATGAAGTTCGTTTCTGAGTTATAAACTATAAATATATATTATAAGGACTTGGTTGCTGAATTCTATTATTAACTAAAAGGAGAGGGAACAATCATAAAGTTAACCCCAAAGCTATGCAGATCCCTTCCTAATGATCTGTATAGTTTTGGTTGAAGTTCTTGTATAAATTTTGTTCGGTGCATAAATATGCTGCAATTAATTTCCACTGAAAGTCGGTATATTTCAATTTGGTTCAAATGCTATGCTGAAAGTCAGTGTATTTCAATTTTGTTCAAATGCTATGCTGATAGTCAGCACATTTCGATTTGGTTAAGATGCCACCTTTGTAAGAAAGTTTTTTCTCTTTGCTTGTAGGTTCTAAATGCCTGTGCTCGCCGTAAAAGCTGGGAGGGTGCGTTTTGGGTGCTACAACAGCTAAAGCTCCGGGACCAGCAGCCTTCAGTAACAACATATGGATTAGTCATGGAGGTAATTATCCTCTTTCTTTTTTTTCTTTTCCCCTTTTCCATAGGTGTTTAGTGTGGGAGTGACATAGTTGAGAAGGCTATTCAACCTTTGCTCTTTTTCTATTTTCTCTCTTCAGTAGGAGTCACTTCCACCTAAATTAGCTTTCGATCTGCTTTGTTCCTATGGGAGGTTTCCTGACATTTATTGGGAAATACTCGCACGAATTCTCATGTTTTATGTAACCATTGATATCTAGCATTAATTGTGGTGTGTGCTGGCCTTGAGATGGGAAACTACACTGCTACATTTTGCTTCGTATAATGTGATTCCTGACCTCATCAAGGACTAAAGAAAAAAAATAAGTACAAGATGACAAGATGTGTTTGGAGTAGCGGAGAGCTTCGAGGAGATATATATCCATAAAATCAGAAGATTCATTATCTATCTTTTCCCTTTGCCCTGGGGTCTCTCTTAACTCAAGGAACCAGAGCCATGTTACACCTATGTGCCATAATGATATTAATAGCCAAGTCCCTTAAGCTCCAAAAGGCGATCCTTCAGCTCGAAGGTTCTTGGATATCCATTTTTTAAGGAAATTAAAGGATCAAGCTTTCGTGAAGTACGTTGAAAGACCTCTACACATGAAATTTCCAACTACAACTTGACTTCAATTTGGAAAAGATTACAACGAATCAATTTAATATTGACTGTATTTAGAAAAACTGTGGTCAACAATGTATCCAGCTTCTGATGATGATGATTTTTTCATGATATACACCTTTTGTGCTTTAACTTTTTTGTCAATATTAAGGCTGGAAATGAGAAAAGTTAGAAGAACCTGTAGCATATTGCATATCCCAACAGAGGAGAAAAAGAGAGGAGAGAACCCTATAGCATAGTGGTCTAGCTGGGGGCCCTTTGCTCATTCCTTATATTGTTGTCAAATGACATTTTTCTCTCTCTTTTTTCCTTTTAAATACTTTTGGGCTGGATTGGGGGCAAGGAAGGCCCACCTATATGGGTTTTAGTGCTTCCACGAAACATGTTAGTTATTGAAGTTTGTTTGATTTTACCAGTAGCTAAACTGAAGTGTTCATTCAGGTTATGTTCGAATGTGGCAAATACAATTTGGTGCATGACTTTTTCAAGAAAATGCAGAAGTCATGTATTCCCAATGCTTTAACCTATAAAGGTAACGTAGAAATGGGCGCTTACTTGACATGCTGCAAACGATTCTTTTTGCTGAATTAAGTTGTCTTTGATGCATGTAGTTCTTGTGAGTACTCTTTGGAAGGAAGGAAAAACAGATGAGGCCATACTGGCTGTAGAAGATATGGAAAGACGAGGAATCGTGGGCACTGCCAGTTTGTATTATGACCTTGCTCGTTGCCTTTGTAGTGCGGGGAGGTGTGAAGAGGCGCTGATGCAAGTACGTTTCTTGTACTTAGCTTCCATTCATCTTATTTTGTTCTGCTGTTCTGTTTCAGGATCCTATAAATTATCTTGAGTATTCATATATTCCGTTTGACATCCAATAGAAGGAAGTAATCAAGTAATCATGTTTTATTCAGTGTTGTCAAACGCGAAACGCGCTAAAAAGTGATCCAGGTCTATCGGGGCTTTAAGCGCAAAGCCGACAACTAAAGTTTGGGTTTAGTTAAAAAAGGCCCAGCGGCGAAAAAAGAAATAAAAATAGATATTTAATTCGAGAAAAAAGTAACAACTTTATTCATAATGATTTACTTGAACAATTAATATATTTTCTTGCCAATCATATTTATTGTTTACTACCACTCTATTCAAGACAGAATTAATGGGCAATGAGGCGCACGCCTTACCTTGCCTAAGCTGAAGCGCAGCTTAAGTCAGGCGAAGCGCCTACCCCAAGCTTCTCTGAGCTTCAGGGCTTAAGCGCGCTTTGAGCCTTTGACAACACTGGTTTTGTTTAAGTTGATGTTCCCGAACTTAAAATATCAGACGGATTGTTGTGGTAATTGATTCTGTTTTCTGATTATATTAACTTAGAAGGTAAATGTCATTGATTGTAAAGCATACATTAGTACGTGAATGCCAATTTACTAATATTATTGTTCATATCAATTGCAAACAAATAATCATAAGCGGTCTTTGGACTGCAAAGATACGCATTACAACAACAACAACAACCTAGTAAAATCCCACTAGTGGGGTCTGGGGAGGGTAGTGTGTACGCAGACCTTACCCCTACCCTTACCCCGAAGGAGTAGAGAGGCTGTTTCCGAAAGACCCTCGGCTCAAGAAGACAAAAGGAGACAATATCAGTACCACCACAGAAATCATAGGAAAAATAGCAAACATGAATACCAGAAGATAGATGCAAAGCAGAAGCGATAGCCCGTAAATAGACCCGGCACTATGAGAAACGAAAGAGTAGTAAGACACAACATTGCCACTAGCTATCTTAGATAAAAGCCCTACCAGACTAGTCTCACAAAGGTACGGAGTAAGGCCAGACTCAACTACCTCCTAATATACAACCTTAATACTCGACCTCCACAGCTTCCTATCATGGGCCATGTCCTCGAAAATCTGAAGCCTCGCCATGTCCTGCCTGATCACCTCTCCCCAATACTTCTTAGGCCGCCCTCTACCCCTTCTCGTGCCCTCCATAGCCAGCCAGCCGCTCACACCTCCTTACCGGAGCATTTGGGCTTCTCCTCTATACATGCCCGAACCATCTGAGCCTCGCTTCCCGCATCTTGTCATCAATGGGAGCCACGCACCTTCTCCCGAATATCATCATTCCTAATCTTATCCATCCTAGTGTGCCCGCACATCCACCTTAGCATCCTCATTTCTGCTACTTTCATCTTCTGGATATGAGAGTTCTTAACAGGCCAACACTCAGCCCCATACATCATGGCCGGTCTAACCACCGATTTATAGAACTTACCTTTGAGTATCGGTGGCACTCTCTTGTCACACAGGAGTCCAGATGCTAACCTTCACTTCATCCATCCCACCCCGATACGGTGTGTGACATCCTCGTCGATCTCCCCTTCCCCGGATAACCGACCCAAGGTACTTGAAGCTACCTCTACTTGGGATGACCTGTGGTTCAAGCCTCACATCCACGCCCATTTTCCTCGGCTCAGCGCTGAACTTACACAGGTATTCCGTCTTCATCCTGCTCAACTTGAAACCTTTAGACTCAAGAGCCTGTCTCTAAACCTCCAGCCTCTCATTAACACCGGCTCGCGACTCATCAATCAGAACTATGTCATCAGCAAATAGCATACACCATGGCACCTCCCCTTGAATATGGTGTGTTAATGCGCCCATCACCAGGGCAAATAAGAACGGATTGAGCACAGAACCTTGGTGTAACCCCATAACAACCGAAAAATGCTCAGAGTCGCCTCCTAACCCGAGTCTTAGCCCCATCATACATGTCCTTAACTGCCCTAATGTAGGCAACCGGCGCACCTTTTGTCTCCAAGCATCTCTAGAGAACTTCTCTAGGAACCTTCTCAAAAAAGTTTTATCCTTCTCAAAGAGAACTTCTCTAGAAACCTTGTCATACGCTTTCTCTAGGTCAATAAACACCATGTGCAGATCCTTCTTCCTCTCCCTCTACTGTTCCACCAACCTCCTAACAAGGTGTATAGCTTCCGTAGTAGAATGACCCGGCATGAACCCGAACTGGTTGCAAAGATACGCATTGAGAACCTAAATATTTGCTCAATCCTCATATCTTCTAAACCATAACAACTGATTCTCTGTGATTTCTCAAGTATTTGCTGAAATCTGACTACTACTTCATTAGTGTGTTGAAGAGGTCAATGGTCTATTTGTTCATCAAGAGCTTTATCAGTGTGATGGGAGATCCATGACTTATCAAGCATTAAAGTCGAATTCCGATGAATCAAGTGAGTGTCCAGACGGTGGATTTCTTATTTACCATTTTCTGGTAGATCCGAATGTATCCTTATCAAAACCAATGACCTTGGAGAGTAAGGCTAGACTGGGAGAAAGGGCTACAATATCTGAAATCTAACAAATCAAGAAACCTAAAAGCATGGAATCTAACCAGGGAAACTATCATCTACAGCCTACAGCTGACTGGGCTTTCAACAAATGTAGAGGATGGAGGGAGAGAGAGATAGTGCGGGACCCGAATAAAGTACTCCTTCCTGCCTTCTTTGTCAAAACTAAAGCTATTTAAGTTTTTTTTGGTCCATTACTTTCTTCGAATACACAATTCAGAGAACTAGTCAGTGTAGGGCTTTTGTTTGAAATAAGGAAGGTATACTCTCAAACAGAATAACTTAATGGGTACGTACATGACTTGTCTTACTTGGACGTACTCCCAACAGATAAATCATAGATGACTTGTCTTGCACATCTCCAGAAAAACTTTCGGTTGGATACTAACATTTCTTTCCATTTCTTTTGGGTCCTTCTTCTACTCTGCAACAGATGGAAAAAATATGCAAAGTTGCTACCAAGCCTCTAGTGGTGACTTATACTGGTCTACTTCAAGCTTGTGTGGACTCTGGTGACGTTCAGAGTGGAGCATACATCTTTAACCAAATGAACCAGTTTTGCTCCCCAAATTTGGTAACTTACAATATAATGCTAAAAGCTTATCTGGATAATGGGATGTTTGAAGAAGCAAGGCAGTTATTTTTCAAGTTATTGGATAACGGTAACCGTATTAGCAGTAAATTGGACAGTAAGGATAAGGTTTTACCAGATGTCTACACATTCAACTTAATGTTGGATGCATATGCTGCTGAGAAGAAGTGGGATGATCTCGAGTTTACCTACTCACGTATGCTGAAATATGGATATCACTTCAATCCAAAACGTCACATTCAGATGGTACTCGACTCCTGCACTGCTGGAAAGGTACTCTTTCTTGACCCTGTATTCAGCTCTCCTCTGTATTCTCGCCTTTCATGTTTAATACCTCTATCATTCCTAGGAAATTCGCAAGTTAAATTTCAATTTAGCCGTTATGTTGTGGACGGTCAAATTTTTGTACAGTTTTCTTTCTTTCCTTTTTTTAAAAAAAAAATATGACCAGCATTTTTTATCAGAGAAGATATTTGCTTAAAGGGAAGTGGGATTAAGCCGTTACTGGATTTTCTCCCTATTTTCTGTCTATCGTAGTGGATATCAATTTGGAAATGAAATTTAAGGAGATAGTTGTATAGGAGAATTTGAAAATGTCTCCCTAAATAGACAAAGAAGTTAAAAAGTAAGGGCAACATTTAGACTTGTTTTAATGTGATGATGGCAGAATCTGGTAGCAGGATCTATGATACTTTTTGTTTTTCTAACTATCTGAAGCATAAATGTTAGTTCCATTTTGGAGTATGCTTGTATTCTGTTGAAATTTATTTCATTTTTGTTTTTGGCGGCTGCATACTGTATAGAGACAGATTGTCCTCTCCATCTTACTGCATGGTAGATTAAAAGGGAGAGAGTTCGAGGTTTGAGAGCAATATTATGTCACATGCCATTTCCTAGTTCTGCAGAGAAAGATTACGCTTAACTCATGGTGATTTGACTTCATGGGAGCATGATTTTTAGTCCCACTTTTAGTGCTTTCTGGTTCCATTGACACCACACCTCGAACGTACATAAATTCGAAGTGTGCAAATACTATCCTTTTACATCTTAGCACCCAAGGGTGTGACTTGGTGGTCAATAACACTAGGTGATTTCTTCCCATGTACCTAAACTTTGGTGGCCACAGTTACCTAATACCTATGCGGGGTGAGAGGTAGCAGGTACCAATAGTCGATGTGCGTGCAAGCTGGTCTGGACACCATTGATATAAAAAAACAAAGCAAAAATAGAAAACTATCCTTCTACCATGTCAACATATCTTTGGTTTGTTCATATCGATCTTTTGATCAGGTTAAGAATTCTGACTATTCTACGCTGACCTTTTCAGGTGGAATTATTAGAAGCAACTTGGAAGGACTTGGCTCGGGCTGATCGGGTTCCACCAGTGCCACTAGTCAAAGAAATGTTCCGCCTGCAGCTGGAGAGAGGCGATTTTTCCGCTGCCCTGGCTTGTGTTGCTGATTATCCTTCCTCTGAATCACAGGCGTTTTCTGCCAAGTTTTGGATGAAATTTTTCGTGGAAAATTCTGATAGATTATCTGATGGTACTCTTTTCAGATTGCTACAAGAGGTGAGCCCTGTCATTGTCAGAAACGACAGCAGAATACTTAACAATCTGTTGGCTTCTTGTAAAGAATTTTTGAGAACTCGATCAGCAAAACTTGACAGAGTTCATAGCGAAACAGCTCTAGTTTGTTAATTTCTTACCCCGAAACATAAAAAGAAAAATCATCTTATGCTGTATAATCTGTTCTTGATATACAAACTCGTTGACCTAGCCAGTTTAGCAAATGTTATTTACATAATCTCTCACTTTTGGGTTGAGGACCATTAAAGTAGCTTCCACTTCTCCGAAAGAGGAGCAACCATATTATGTAGTTAGCTGTCTACACAAACAAAAGAACTAAACACACAACAAATTCAACTGAGCACGGATGAGGGACGAAACTATACCTGGCTCATCACTATTATTGATCTAAATATCTGTTTTACTAAATACACAATAATAAATGGGATGAATAGGCTGGCTAATACACAAACCTCTGCTATGTATTCAATCTAGACGAATGAATAAATGTAGAACCCCCACATTAGCTTCCAAAAACCTACTCTAGCAATACTAATAAATCAGCGATAAGTTAAGCTGTGTGATGGGATTCATGTCAGTCTTCCACAACGATAAGTTGTCGACGCATTACGAAGACTTGGCCAGAGATGAACCATAACCATTAAGGTGCGACTTCTGCCATCTCCATGCGACCTGCAAACTCTCTTGAAGATCAGTGTGTTTGGCTGTCCAATTCAGTTCAAGTCTTATCTTAGTTGGATCACTAAATACTTCCGCGTAGTCACCAGGTCGACGGGGAAGGAAGTCAACTTTGATAGGAACCCCAGTGGCCGCCTTGCAAGCCTCCACAAATTCCTTCACTGATCTACCTGTTGTCGGTGACAAAAGGATGGAATGAAAAACTATACTCCGAGCGAGAAATTGAAAAAGATGATACGAGTGCTTTACCTCTTCCAGTTCCAACGTTGTAGATTCCTACTTTACCAGGCCTTGCCTTTTCAAGAGCTTTCACATGAGCGTCAACTAGATCAGTGACATCGATATAATCCCTAATGCATGTACCATCTGTTGTCTTATAGTCTGTTCCTCTAACCTGCATGAACAAAACAACTCAGCTCAGAGACAAGGGCAGATCATAACTCTTCATGTTATCATGACACACATTTCAGTTCCTCCTATCCCATATCTATACTATATTAAAAGCAAGAAGGCCCTTAGCGAAATGTCGTTCGTCTTTTTTACCCTTTTGAATTAGAGTTCACACTGAACAAAATGGTCATTTAATTACTTTTCTAATATTTAGGAGTTTGAAATTAAGTAAAATTATGATTATTAGATCTTTTCCTATTTAGTTTGTGTACGAAGTCCGATTATTTATGACTTNAGATTACAGACTTTAAAAAACAACGACACTCAATGTCTGAGATCTGAATGATTAAGATTCAGACCTACCATTAAGTGACAAACAAATGACGGACCTTAAGTAGTACTAAACCCAAATTTAAAAAAGAATAGAATGCAGCGTAACTTCTAGTTTTAGTAATTTCTTTTACAATTGTTGTACAAATTACAAGTGGTGGTAATTTTGAGTTTGAACAAATCCCACGGTATTTATTGAATACTCATTTAATTCTTTTTCAAGTATTAAAAAATTTTAACTATAAATTCTTTACTTATTTACACTATGTAGCAGCTTAGCATTTACAAAGATCGATTACGATTTCACCTACACAAATTATTATTAATAGGACTAAAATATATGAATAATTACTAATAGGCCTAATATACATACATCATATAGTATCTATATCTACCTATATCTATTTACACTATTAAAAGTACAAAGGCCCTTATCGAAATATTATTTAACTTTTCTGCGATTCAAAAACATATTTCACACTAGATAAAATAATATTTAATTATTTTTAAAAAATTTAATACTCTAAAATCAACTGCATTTTATTTATTAAGCTCTTCTTTATTTGAAGTAAGAAGCCATAGTATTTAAAGTTTTAAACTCAATTCAAATTTACCACTTCGATTAGACTAAACACAAAAAAAAATTATTAACGTTAGGGTACTTAGCTTACATATATAAACCAAATTGAACGATGGATAGTCACTAGATAATATTTAATACTTATCTATGAGGGTGTTTGGCTAAGCTTATAAGTTGGTCAAACTGGCTTATAAGCACTTTTTGGCTTATCTACGCGTTTGGCAAAATTAAAAGTGCTTATAAGTTAAGTGCTTATAAGCCAAAAGCCATAAGTTGGTCTCCCCAACTTATCAAATTTCAGCTTATAAGCAGTTTAAGTTTGAGCAAAATATCTACTATTCTATCCCTAAAATACTTCTTTTTAAAACAAAACTCTTCGTATACCCGGTTCTTTAGCTGCATATTATTAATTTCAGCACTTTTATCCAAACACGTAACTGCTTATTTTTTAAATTAGCTTCAGCACTTAAAAGTGCTTTTCAGCACCTAATGCTTATCAGTTACTCTAAATCAGCTAAGCCAAACGGGCTCTATATCTACACTATATTAAAATATGAAGACCCTTAGCGAAATATCGTTCACCTTTTTTACCTTTTGAAAATAAACTTTACATTAGATAAAATTGTAATATAGTTATTATCCTAATATATAAGACTTTAAAATTAATTAATTTTTTTATTAAATCTTTCCTTATTTGAATTATGTAAGAAGTCCCAATATTAAGGACTTTAAAGTAGGTATTTTTTGCGGAAATAGAAGTAATATTATGTTTCTTTTCCTTGTGTACCCGACGACAATTTCAAATAGAAATATGTTTCACATTCATTCTTCTTACATTGGGAACTTATAATTCTAATAAGATATACTACTAAAAGTAAGAGATATGGTACCTAACTAATTATATATTTTAATTATTAAATATAGTTTTTAAATATTACACAAATTTGACAAAGAAAATAATATATTGTTCGAATAGGAAAAAAGTTCAAAAATAATTTGTATCTTCTATCATTTACACGTGTACCTATATCAATAATAATTTTTAAAAATTATGTAAATATTATTAAATGATATGTTTGAGTTATTGAATAAATATTAAAAAATATAGTTCCCAAAAATAATGAATATTAATCTCATTGAGCTAGCTCAATAAAATTATTGACAAAGCTAGCGTAGTGAGATTAACATTCGTTATTTTTAGGAACTTATATTTTTTTTAATATTTATTCAATAACTCAAACACAATATTTAATAATATTTATGTAATTTTTAAAAAAATATATTTACTGATATAGGTACACGCGCGAAGCGCGTACCGTAAGACTAGTTAAAAGAAATGTGGATAGAACAGTCGAATGTTTTTCTTTTGTTTGTTATTGAAGAGTAACATTACCAAGTGAACTTTTTTCATATGAATTTCACTCATCAGAACCAGATACATTTTCTGGTAGACATTGAAGATGCTTAATACATAAAGAAATGTCTGAAAATCGAACTATCACAAGTACATAGATGATAAATAGCAAACACACAAGTACAGAGATAGCAATTATTGGCTGACCTTAAGACCAGGTGTGATTCCACGAGCTGCATCAAAACAAGCACCAGATATTCGCCCATGTTCACGAAGTTCAGGCCGGGGAGCTTCTCCTAGTCTTCCCTCTGGATCAGAACCAATCACATTGAAGTACCTGAATTTTCAGAAAACAATTTAGCATTATTTCGACCCATGCCAATTGAGATAAACATAATAAGTCAACCAATAGTTATAACTCGGCCTTTCAACCATCGCTCATGGGGGTGCTTGTTAGTGGTTGGCTTGCTCTAAAAATTAGACGAGGAGTACAGAACATCTGAAGATGTACTTACTATTAGTTAGTTAACAAATTTGATAACATGAAAATTAGTGAATGCCAGTTGGACTAGCAGATAGAGGATAAATGGACATGAAGAAAGCATTAAAAACATGAAAAGGAAAAGAAAATCAGAACAAATTTGCACAAAACAAGCATGAGTTAGTGGGAGCTCACAAGTGGAGCTCCTACTTAACAATCCTAAACACGCGAGATCGTATTCAAACGCAGCCCTTCCCTTCAGCCTCATCTTACCCAGAGTCACTTTTCCGCAACCAATATAAACAAAAATAAAAGGAGAAGTTTTCAAAAGACAACGAAAGACGAACATAGAAATGCATAATAAGTACAAAAAAGCACATCATATAAGAATAGTTACTTCCCATACACTGAAAACAGAGATATATTGGCAAGACGGATCATACACCTACCTCAAAATCATGACAGCCATGTTTGAGTTCTTATGGAAATCCAAAATAATATCCTCCGCCATTTTCTTCGCTTTTCCATATGGATTAATAGGGAGCTGCAATTTGACAAAAAGACTCAGCTATTGCTTACCAATGACGTAACAGATAGGCATTCACACGGTTCTAGTGTACTCGAAGCATATACACAATTTAAAACACACCTGTGGAGTTTCTTCAGTAATGGGCATCTTTTCAGGCTCTCCATATGTTGCACATGTACTAGAGTAAATCAATGTGGGGACTCCATGAGCTGCCATAGCTTCTAAGACAGTGAGGGTATTTGAAGTAATGTTATGATAGTACCTGATTGGCACATGCAGCAGCTCATGAAAATATGAGTTTGAAAGGCAAAGAAACAATTACCAGAGGCATAATTAACTTTATAAAGTATAACAACATGGAAATTACACTAAATTTATTCATCAAAGAGACACATTAGATCCTTCAGTCTGATATTTTTAATCCAAACCAGTTAGAGAAAAAAGATTGAAATTCAGTTCCTTAAACAAATGGCATTTTCCCGTTTTCCGATGACAGTGCTACTGAACTTACAAAGGCACTAACAGAAGTCATGTGAATTCACATACATTTCAAAGTAGTAATGTAAGCCTTAATTTGCTTTTATTCAGAGTAAAAGACTAATCAAGACAGGAAAACATAATGCTACACCAGTGATATACTGGACGCACAACCAACTTTGACACAGATGCAATATCATTACATACTTGATGCTTTGGGTTAACCTGTAAAAGAGTTAGTTTTCTCTTCCTCCTCGACATGAAACAAGTGAAACTCTTCATTTACATGTTATAGTGGAAAGGTTTATGAAAGACTCAACTATACTTACTTTAGAGGATCAAGGGTGCTCTCTCCAACATATGCTACAGCTGCAAAATGCATCACAGCATCAAAAGCA